AGGAGCTCTCCCTGCACTCCAAAGGACCTGAGTTTCCGGAGCAGATAGAGTCTGCTCTGGCCTAGGTAGTGTACAGTTAGAGCTTTTTACTCAAAACAGCTGTTTGTGCTGGAATCGCAGTTGATGAGTGGTAAGAGTGAACCAAAACTGAAAAGCTGTGGGTCATAAAACCAAAGACGCTCTGCAGAGATGAGGGGAACTGTGGAAAAAAATGTTTTTACACAGAGATTCCAGCATTCAACTATGTCAACCTTGTGTATGCAATAAACCAACTATATTTGCAAACAACAAGTTTATTGTCAAATAATGTTAAAAATTCATCTGGAAGTGGCTTTAACTGATCGGACTAATGCCTTTGGAATTTGTTCAGCACACTCTGTTATTATTAAATAGCTGTTTTAAGCTTCATGGGGCATTCATGGTGTGGCTCCGTTCCAATTTTGATTTTGGACCAATAAATATAAAAACACTTTATTTCAGGGAGTGTTTTTAAGTTTTTAATTTCTTCTGGAGGCCTACATGTTTACTAATCATGTAATCTTCATGTTACAACAATGCATGTGTAATACTTGTATATGTGTATCTGACAGTGCTGTGTGTGTTTGTGTGTCCAGCCAGTGTTCTGCAGGCCATGGCTGTGCTGGTCTGCGCCGAGATGTACCAGGTCAAACGTCTGCAGCATCTGTGTGAAGTGTGTGTGTGCGCTTACCTTCAGAGCATGCCCAGTAGAGAGCTGTCATCAACAGGTATCAGCGTGATTCGACTACTCCGCCGAGCAAAGGTCAGTGCAACTTTGAGTGTACGAGTGTAAGAAAGGGCAAGAGACATTAAATGAGAACACGAACTGACCTGCAGATTGTCTGTGTAAGCCAATTACTACTCCATTATATAGATATGACATTTCCTTCATCCACTAACACTGAATTCAAAAGCTGTGTATAAAGGGAATCTAGCTGTTTGCCCAATGCAATGTGTTTGTTTCTGTGCCGAGCTTAATCTTGTAACTTGCAGAAGCTCTCTAGGCCTTCCTCCGCAGATATCCATGCTTATCTGTTGAAAAGCATTTATTCTCAAGAGAATCATTGTTATTTATCATAATGTCTGTGTTTGAATTGATTCTCAGTGCCACAATGCAGAGCAGCTGTATGTCTGGCTCCTCCACTTTATCGCCAACAACTACCTGATCTTCAGCCACAAACCTGACTTCCTGGAGCTCTCAGGTCAGTGTGTGAATTTTTAAACAAGTAGAAAATGTCTGAAAAAAATAAATAAAAAAAGCCTTTAAAAGTGATGGTTATGCAAACTAAACTTGCTGCAGAGTAATGGCGGAATTAAACTGAACTGCTGATTTCAACTTTTTAGTAGGCTTCAGACTTCATTAAAAAAACATAATTAAGTCAAAGTGCCTCCAGGCTTTCGAGGATCTGTTGTTTTTCCACACAGTATATGTAGGTTAGACTCCCTCCGTCTCAGGTAAGTGCTGTGGATCGGAGGCTGATTCTCATTTTTTGTCAGATGGCCAACCAGTTTGGATAATACATGAGGTGTAATCCAAGTGCCCAACAATCAGTTGTGTATGTAAGGTCCAGTGTGTCACATTTAGGAGGATCTCTTGGCAGAAATTAAATACAATATTCATATTTATTTCTTCGTTGGTGTATAATCACGTTAATCCTTGTTAATTTAGAATGAGTGTTTTTTGTTGCCACTGTAGTTTCTCCTACACACTTGGTTGAGACAAGAGGTTTCAGTTGATTTCAATCTGCATTTAGATGCCTCTAAATCCTTCACACTGGTCCTTAAAATAAAACATGGTCATAGACACCTGGGAAAACCTCTGTATTTTACACTTTACTGTCATATAGCACAATATGGCAGTATGTATGTATTAGACTGTAGGTTGTCGGCCCCTCACAATAATACCTCCTTATAGTTTACTTAATACTATAGGTTTATGCTTGATATAATACTTTGATTGCTCAGTTGTTACGGTCATATGCATTTAATAGGCCACATAAACGCAGTTAAGCTAATTACAAAGATTAAAAGCAACATTGCTCTGGTTAGTAGCAGTAGCACATTTTATTGTCATCATTAGTCATACACACAAAAATCATTTAAGGTCAATGGACGGGTACTGAAGGGCACAGGCGAAGTCACAGGCCAGAATTAGTAGACAGTGCATTATTGATCACTGCTGATCTTCTGTTGCTTGTCGGTGTAACAGATATTTCTGCCTTGTTGGCCGTGTTCATGGCAACAATCCATCTGAATGCGTTTGTGTGAATGCATGCCAAGGCCAGTAAATCTTGCTATAAAAAGGTTTTATCAGCAAAACATGCAATAATTGTGTTTGCAGTAGATTACAGTTATAATATATGTGTGTGTGTGTGTTCCAGAGGAAGAGCGCGAGCAGGTGGAGAGGCTACGCTGGCCATCCAGAGGCTACCTGCAGGAGCTCAGCGAGTACCAGCAGCGGCGACGCAAACTACGCAAGTCCCGCTGCATAGTCATGTGACCGCCACCTGGATGGCAAAATCTGAGGAAAACAGGGGGGGAGAGCAGAGGAGGGAGACCAGGGAGAAAATAATGACAGAGTGAGACTAGTCATCAACGCTTGGAGAAACAGACAGAAGAAAAGGTTTTTTCTGTTTGTCCTGCTGGATGAAGGGGCGGATCCTCAAGGACACTTTTGCAGAGGAAAATGTCATAAGACTCCTTAACCAATGGGACAAAGTCGGCGAGCAGTGACATAAACCACTGTGACACACCTCTCTTCCCCCGAAGGAATGACTAGGCATCCTTTGCATAATGACTATTCCATCATGGGCAATACAAAATGACTGATCCTTAAAACCCAATGTGAATTTAAAATGACTGGCTGGACTCCGGCCAGAGGCTCTGTGGCAGATTGTATTTCTATTGGCTGATGCAAAATGGTGGATTTCGAAGATGAACAGTGACATAAAATGGCTCCATTACGAGTACAGATATATCAAATGACCACACATCTGTTGAAACACCGATCAGAATCATGTGCACACCGTTTCAAACTACAGAAACAGGTAACGTGATTTCAGGTTGACTAAGCAGGAAGGAAGTTGTGTTTTCTCTACTCGACACCTGGGGATGTCTTTGTATCTTCTGTACGCTGGACACAAGACTACTCATTTTAAATTAAACCCCGACCCATGATGCATTTGTGTTCCATTGGATCTAAAAATTGTGAGCTTGTGCACATGCAGCATTTCTTTAAGCTGAAATAACTCCTGAGCCTCGAACCTCTTTGTGGCTCGATCAGTATTTCAGCCGAACCACGACCTACATTAACACCGAGAGCAGAGTGGAAAGAAAGAAAGAAACTCAGTTTAGCAGACAAGCAGGACCAATTTAATTACAGCTCTTTTATTAGATTCCTTCAGGTCTATAATGCAACATCAGCGAGTGTCTCTGAACCAGACTGATTTTATCACAACGTGAGATTTAATACATTTTGGTTGTAGTCTGTGTTAAGGCCATCTCACCTTTATTCAGATGTGGCTCGAAATTTAATCTTCAAACTAAACTACACATAGTCTGTATCAAAATTAAATGCTTTATACACCAAATCCAAAACAATAATCAACAATAATAAAATGTATTTTTAAATTTGATTTAAAGTCTGTGAGCTGGACTTTCACACCATTTCATTTGCCGGTTATAATGTAATCATGATGAAACTAATCCTCATCTATTTGCAATAACAAATAATAATGCTCTATCTCTGTCTGTCGCACAAAAAGGCAAAAGCCTTTTGTAGCATTTACATGTACAGAAGTGGTGTAAAGATTTAGGAAAAACAACCATATCATAAACATATGTTGGTACACTAAAAACCACAATGCCTCTGGGTAATATAATATACAATATTTATTTTATCCAATTCTTTTTAATTTGAGAGATTGTTTTTAATCATAAAAAGAATATGATTTATTGGTGCTGGAATCATTTTTGTAAACTCTACTGTATGTGGACATGATGATGACATGATTACTTTTCTTTCTTCTTTTTTTTTTACATTCAGAGTAGAGACAACTGTCACACTGTTTTACAGTCTACTGTTTCACTGGTATTTACTTAAAAAGGTGCATGATTATAAAACACCTGAGGTGCAGGAAGACGAAACAGGTAAACCTTCAACAAAATGAAGCCAAAAAAAGGTGGACATTATGCAGCTCTTTCTTATTAGGTGGATCAATAGCTGTCTTTAATAGTCAGCAAACAGTATGTAACTGTATTTGCATCCAGTTTGTGCAGTACTTTGGCACAGGTGGAGCAGCAGGCTGTGTATATAGTACAAGAAAGCTACCACTTTGACAGTGTACAGGTGATGTCAGTTAGTATCTTTAAGCCCCTGGTGTATATTTAACCTGCTGCTGCACATTAATCAGAGAGTGTGTCTCCTGAGAAATCCTCAGATAAATCCCAATCAACTCGTAAAAAGAGAGTCAGTAAATAACGGTTGAAAGACTGGACTGTAAAACAGAGCGTACTCCAGTGCTGCATCCATACCCAGTGTGTGGAGACACATGTGGCTCCCCTGGGCCACTGTTGTACAGACTGTAGATAACATGACGTCTGACTTTAAATAAAGACATGTTTTAGAATGAACATCCCACCGACTCCATGAGTGTCTGCACTCTTATTGTACGGGCACAGCCGGGTGTACAGGTGTTTGTGGGCATTTTGACTGCATTCATTTGTGTCTCTACAAGTTGTTTCTCCCTCCCCTTACCTCTGGAAAATGGGCATGTTTTACATTCAGATGGGTGACAAATTAAAAGAAAAACCAACATTAAGTAAATAAAGTAAAAAGATAACATCACATAAAGGCAAGTTTATGAAAATGGGTTTTTAGAAGTGATTAAAAAGAAGTCACTGATTCTCCAAACCCTATGTCCTCAGACAGGTTGTTCCAAAGCCGAGGGGCCCTGATGGCAAAAGCATGGTCACCTCATCAGCCAGAAGGGCTTCAGACTGCAAACCGGCTCATAAGGGGGTCAGCATTACTGTAGCTCAGGGCCACACCCGGACGTGCTGTCAAAGTGATCAGTAAAACCTTAAAATCTATTCTAAAACGAACAGGGAGCCCAGATTGGGGGGACGTGATGTGCGTTAAGACCAGTAAGAAGCCGAGCTGTTGCATTCTGATGTTGCAGTCTCTGAATCTCTACTGGAGGGATGAACCCTTCCACAACATGTTCCCTCACTTGGTGGTTTGATGTTGGTGGAGTATGCGGTCTGATTCCAGGATCAGTTTCTGGCATGCTACTCTTTTCGTCAGGATGTGGCAAGGCGTCCCAGATGCTACGCCCGTTGCCCAACACACTAAAAACAAGCAATCGTCTCTCCTGAAACGTATTGTTGTCTCTGGCGGTGCACGTCTTTCGGGTCAGGCTGATATCACATTATCTGACCTTCGTATAACATGTTCCAACATCTTGTATAGGCGTTAATACGGGTTGAGATCTGGTGACTGTGAAGGCCATAGCATATGATGGACATACTTATTAAATCATTCAGTACCCCCCCCCGTGCCCTGTGTGGCAGCCTCTGCATTCATTATGTTCCTTCACTCGGGTGTTTGCTTTAATTTGTCACCCATCTGTACATCAGGTTGTTGTGATGCAGCGTGGGCCTCGAGCAGATTGTACTGCCTTTACCACCAAGCAATTACCTCTCATCTCTTCAAGCACCACCTTGGGCATCTTATTTCCTTTCATTTATTTATTTCTACACTAATGAGAGCTTACTGTTACTAATTCGTGCACTTAACGACTTACTCGGGGTGTTCTGAGGGGCAACACCTACCTCCTTTTCTTGCCTGCTATTACAAAAATGCTTCCCTATGTTTCTGTTGTTTTCCCCCCCTTCTTTCCCACAGTATATATATATGTTTGAGTCTGTGCAGCGTCCTGTACGGTACCTGGAGGTCTGGATCGGGTTACTGCAGGGCTCCAATAGACTTCAGCATGCCCTCCAGTTTACCGCTCTTATGCAGTGCCGCCACGTCACTGCCGCCTCCAATACACTCCTCACCAATGAACACCCGGGGGACCTACATTCAGTTCAATACAAGAGACGCAAGGATGCAACTGATAAATATGCAGTCATTGATTTTCAGCTTCATGCAAAAGAGACGATACACATTGGTCTACGGTCACGGTAACGGCCCCTTTAACGTCTCTGGGTAACCGGATCCCGACAAACTAAAGAGTATGTTAGTGTGGGACACTGTGGCACCAGTTCTGTGATTTTTATACTGTTCCTAAGCTTTTCCCTCTGGTTGATTCAGTAGCACACAATAGACTATGCACGTTAGGCCTTTAACGTGTTAAGGACTTGAATGCAACATCCCAAACTCCCACACTAAGTAAACACAGTGAGCATGAAAGAAGTTTCACACTTCATTTGTTCTTATGCAGAAGTCTGCCATAGTTGCCTTGCACTGGTTTCCTCCAGTTATGAGTGGTTTCCCAGTCTTTCTTGTAGCTGCATTTTCTTTCCTTTGCAGTAGCTTCCTTCATATTCTGCCTAAATCTGCATAGCTCGTAACTTTCTGGTGACTTAGCAAAGACGGTGAGACAGTCTCACACACTCTACTTTAACACCTCTGGGTGTGTAAGGCCACTGTGGGCAATGAAAAAAACATGGCAATATTGGGTTTAATGTGACAACGTATGTTTATTTGTCAGGTATTTATTTCACAGGATTGCCCAGTAGGCGATGCTCCTGTCTGACTATTAGACTATTCGTTTTCCTAATATATTTTCCATGCACTTTACTATATTGAGGTATAATAATAAAGAATCATTTTTAATGTGTTGGGTTTAGGGTAACGGAGATGACATTTCTCACTATTTTCTGTATTTTTACAAACCAAACAAGGAGAAACTTGAGCAGATTAATACATAATAAAGTAATCAATACTTGTAGTCCAATCCTCAACCTCCTACAACAAGAAGAGCACCAATAATGTGACACAGTGTAACAGCCACAAGGGGGTATTGTTCTATACGGAATAAGTTGAATACTTTAATACTGATTATACCAGTAACATCTTCAGTGCAGGACTTTTACTTGTAACAGAGTATTTTTGAAGTGTGGTATTATTCGTACTTTTACTTAAATGATGATCTGAATACTTCCTCCACCACTGCAGATACTGGGAGAGGGTTTTATACATAGTTTACACTCTAATTCTCTCTCTTTCTCTCTCTCACACACACTCACACACACACATATAAAATACACAGTTGGTCTCATCAGTCCTAACTCTCCACACTGTCTGTCAGTGTTGCTTGGTGCGCACTTCCTCTGTGGATCCTCCCTGCCTGATTCCATACTGCCATCATAAAGCTAACCTTCAGTCCCTCCGGTAAACACTGACAGTCCTCACTAAACACTACAGGTCAGCATCGATCCTTTCGTCCACAGGAGCACCTCCTTCCACTAGTCCCCCTGTCACAGCGGCTCTCCCATTGTTTACACTATGACAAAGCAGCCGTGCGTTTACCGTGCGGGCTCCGGTCAGCTCCAGGAAGTAGTCTTGCATGCTGTCCATGTCGCTGCGTCCGCTAATGTCGATGTACTCCAAATGTCCCGGCTTGAATTTGTATTTGGACAAAACGTCTTTAGCCATGATGCAGTAGGAGCACGTGGGCTTCATGAACAGCACCACTTTGTCTCCTTTGATTTTGGTCTCCACGAACTGCTGCGCCATTTTAAGTGTTCAGAAGATCAGAGAGCGAGAGAGAGAGAGAGAGGGAGGGAGAGAGAGAGAGAGAGGGAAATATGATGCTCTGCCTTTGGTCAATTATGGTAATGAGGGTGACGTGGCACGACAGCCCCCCCCTTCTTAAAGAGGCACTTTGATTAAACACAATAGACACAGTATAAGATCAAATGATGAAGGTCTTCAGTCTGCCACAGGGTCACATCATTAGTTATTAAATAATACAGGACTCGCCTTAGTTGATATTGCACAAGAGTGAATTCCTGGCAGATCTTTAATGTGTTAATGTGTTAAATAGTTAATGTGAACAAAAAGCAATTCTGGACTCGGTTTGTCCAACAGGTAATGCAGCTTTGATTTAGAGCTGCCTGGGAGGTGAAGTTCCTGTAGTTTAGGTATTGGTGCCATCTCACGCAACAAGTAACAGATAGACATAAATACTGTATTACTGTGCTATAGGACTCTTTGTTTCTTTGTGTTGGCGAGTTTTCGGGTTGATCCAGTTCTGGTTGACAATGGCAATAACAAAATGTTTTTTTTTTTAAACTAAACTAAATTTAACCAAAAAAAAAAATATTTCATTCAGCAATACATTCAATAGTTCAGCCATGTAAAGAACTTTGTAACTATGTTTTGAAAAGTCCTGTATAATGTTTATTATTATTACTAATAATCATTATTATAAGAATCTTTCTGTGAAACAGGGAAAGCTATATCACACCAGGTCCTTTTATTTCATGTTCAGATGTGGCACATTTAAACCTGACTGTTTCCCAGTGATTGAATACCTAATCTACATTTTATCCAACAAAGTTTTAACTAAACATATATATGTATACCGGGCAAGTGTAATAGTGTGCACCCTACAGCAGATGGCCTAAAAGGGTCAGACTACTGACTCACAATGTAGTAAACTCCTACTGACAACTCACAAACCTTTTGCATTTATATTTAATTTCCACTTTAGTAGTTTAGTTTTTGTCAAGTTTAATTTTCTGCTCATATTTTGCACTCCCATGTCCTACTTGAACAATGCATAGTGTATATACTTTCATTTA